GCAGTTGGAAAGCATCAATTCTTCAGCACTCTTTGATCTTAATTGGTCCATGTGCAATTCTGCCTGCTAGAAAATTACCCACCAAATAAATTACTGCTTTTTGCTCCAGTTATTACCTTAGAACACTGAAAATGGCAATGTGAACCAGGCATATACATATATATATATATATTTTTTCTTATCAATATGTTCCCTACAGATAGTTTTTTGGTTTTGAATTAAAACGAAGAAAATATGACTTGACTGTCCCTCCTGCAGGCACAGTCCTCCTTGGTAGAAAGCGAAGGCTCCTGAGAAAAGCCTCAGCAGGGTAGTATTTCTGTGAAGTGGCAGCTGGAACCCCTTTAGAAAAATGCAATAACTCACACTTTACTGCACCCAGTGTTGTGTCCCTCAGGGCGAGCTCTCTGGTGTCACAGAGTTTATGACTCATGAGTGCTGTACCTTTGTGATGTAATAAACAAGGCGAGATGGTGGGAGAATTATATTCCTTCCCCAAAAGCCACTTCACCTTTTATTCTGTTGGAAACAAAAAGCCATAGGGATGTTAAATTTTAGTGGCATTTTCAAGTTGAACATTGTCGGTGACGGAAATGCATGCATTGAAGTGTTAAGCTACTTAAGAACAAAATAAAATCAGGGGAAGGAGCTGTTTCCATGTAGAGCTAAGTTGCTGGCAAGGGTTTTGGAAGAATGTTTCTCAGTACCCATCCAGGATCTGATTTACATATCCTTCTCTCTGTGTTTGCATAGCTTGTACCTCCCCATTGAATTTGCCTCAGACTACACTGACCAGCGGCTCTGATTTTTAGAGCAGTTTTAGATGCTGCTCTAAAAAACATGTCCCTGGTGGCTCAGCTGGTAAAGAATCTGTCTACAATGCGGGAGACCTGTGTTTGTTCCCCGGGTTGCAAAGATCCCCGGGAGAAGAGGAAGGCTACCCACTCCAGTATTCTGGCCTGGAGAATTGCATGGGCTTCATAGTCCTTGGGGTTGCAAAGAGTCGGACACAACTGAGTGACTTTTTCACTTTCACACTGACCAGCGCTCTATTTTTCAGAGCAGTTTTAGATGCTAGCAAAATGGAGAGGGAGGTGCAGAGGTTTCCTCTGTACCCCCTGCCCCAACTCATGGGTGGCTTCTCCCCTTTTCTCACCATCCCCCAGCAGAATCCTACATTTTTTACACTATTTATTTACATGTATTTCTTTTTGGCTGCACTGGGTCCTCGTTGCTGGGCTCGGATTTTCTCTAGTGTCAGGCACAGGCTACGCTTTGTTGTGTCTGGCCTCTCTTGTTGCGGAGCCCTGGCTGTAGGCATTCACACTTCAGTAGTTATGGCCCAAGGGCTTGGGCTTCCAGGACAGCTCAGCGGGTTAAGAGTCTGCCTGTGATGCAGGAGACTCGGGAGACGCGAGTTCGATCCTTGGATCAGGAAGAGATCCCCTAGAGGAGGAAACGGCAACTCACTCCAGTTTTCTTGCCTCAAAAATCCCATGGGCAGAGCAGCCTGGTGGGCTGCTGTCCATGGGATCACAGAGTCAGACATGACTTAGCACAGCACACAACAAAAACGGGCTAAGTTTTCCCGAGGCACGTAGGACCTTAAGTCCCCAACTGGGGATCAAACCCATGTACCCTGCATTGGCAAGTAGAGTCTCAACCACTGGGCCACCAGGGAAGTCCCCAGAATAGTACACTTATTACAACTGATGAACCTCCATGGACACATCAGTATCATCCAAAGTCCATAGCTTACCTTAGGGTCCACTCTTGGAGTTGTGCATTCTATGAGTTTGGACAAATGTATAATGACATGCACTCACCACTACAGTATCGAGTATCATACAGAATAGTTTCACTGTCCCCCAAATCCTTTATGGTCTTCTGTTCATCCCTCCCTCCCCCAATCCCTGGTAATCACTGGTCTTGTTACTGTCGCCCTAGTTTTGCCTTTTCCGGGACGTCACACAGTTGGACTCACACATGCATTTTCACACTGGCTTCTTTCACCTAATAGGCAACGAAGATTCCCCTCTGTCTTCTCATGGCTTTATAACTCCTTTCTTTTTCCTGCTGGGTAATCCATTGTCTGAACGGACCACAGTTTTCACTCGTTTTCAGTGCCTTAATTTTTTAATAGACTTGACCTCAGGTTTGGGATAGGATAAGGCAAGCGAGGCACTCAGGAATTTCCATGCGCTATTTAAAGGTCAAAAATTAATGCCCCAAACTCCGCAGTGAATAAAAGATCAACATTTTAAAGATAGAAAGTTCCCTCTGACCGTCACTGACAATCATTAGTAAAATTCCTTCTATCCATAACCCACACTCTGGACAGTACCTTCATGCTCTGAAACCTGCTTCTTCCCCAGAGTCGCTGCTTCCCTCAAAGCCTTCTCAGGTCATTCTTTCCTTGCAGCCCTCCCAGCATTGACATGGGGATATCTTCCTTCTCCTGCATCTTCACTTCCAACCATACTTTCCTCCTCCTCCCTAAAGAACATCCCCCACCCAACCTGTGGATGAACCAGTTCCCACGTCCCCTCCACCTGTTGGAGGCATCCAAAGGCTCTTTCTGCCTCAGGGGCATCCCCCTCAGTCTTCAGAGGCTTTAGGCCCTCTCTGTCTGTCATTCAGCCAACTGCATCTTTCATCATTAGCTGATTTTGCTATCATGTCGATGCTCCAAGATTCCAGTTGCTCTGTTCCTTGATTTTCATTCCTCCAGTGATCTTGCTTTCATCATTCTTCAGCCCTTCCCTCTGAAATTCCTGTTATAGTCCTTACAGATACCAATGACTGTACCTCCTCCAGAATCTTAATTTCAACTCTGACTGTCCAACTACTGTTCCAACTTCTATCCACCCCACTTTTATTTACTTTTTGGTACCTTTAGGACAGAATTCTGTAACCCACAGCAGGACTCATTGATATTACAGCCCTTTTAAGATATATGTGTGTGTGTATATATATATCTAATTTATTTATTTTATTTGGCTCTGACAGGTCTTAGTTGCTGCATGCGAGCTCTTTCATCTTAATTGGCGGGACTGACCAGGGATTGAACCCAGTCCCCCTACACTGGGAACATGGAGTCTTAGCCACTGAACTACCAAGGAAGTCCTAATACTGCAGTCTTTGAACTGTGTATCCCACTCTTCCTACATCCCCACTTTAGATTTTATTATAACCCATCATTATAACCATTTCCTTGCTTCTGTCCTCTGTTCTCTGTTTTCTCTCTTCATTGTATTTAACTGGCAAAACAGCAACCCTGGTGAAATGCAAGACTTATACAAGGGCAAGACCATTTTAGAAAATAATTTTTATGTTTCTATTTTTCCTTCGAATCTCTTCTCATTATTATTAATAAATAGAAGTGATCTGATATTTTCCTAAACCCCTTTTAGTTTATCAAGTTTTACATTTCTTTCCAAGTGCTCAGTAAACACCATTATTTATTGAGAACAGTAATCAGAGTGAAGAGCTGTATTTAGTTATGAAGGGAAGAGATTCATAAATGCAGTTCTTCATCTAAACGACACTCATGATAACTGTTTGATAAATTATTCTTATGTAAATTACTTTGAACAAAGAGAGGAATTTTTACAGAGAGAGCTTGCTGTGTGTCATCCTGTGTGTGAAATGTTTGCCTAGTTGACTCAGACAGGGTTGGGTTGAATTTCAGTCATGGTAATATTCTCAGGTGTATTTACCCTAACATTATTTAGGGGGATCTCCCTGGTGGTCCAGTGGCTAAGACTCCATCCTCCCAGTGCAGGGGTCTAGGGTTTGATCCCTGGTCAGGAAACTATAGTTTTCATGTGCTGCAACTGAGACCTGGTACAGTCAAATAAATAAGTAAAAAATATTTTTTAAAATTATTTTGGGCCTTGCAGACTATCTTCCCACCCATTTACTTTGCATTGAAATGACCCTATACTTTTAAGAGGGTCTCCCTCTCCATGGACTGCAGTCCACAGGGTCACATCGAGCCGGACTGAGTGACGTAGAGCACACTTGCATCTCCTCCCTTTCTATTGTATCTCCCCTAGAAAATGTTTGAACAGAGAAGTCTGGCAGGCTACTGTCCATGGGGTCGTATGAGTTGGACATGGCTTAGGGACTAAACCACAAAACCACTAGAAAATAGGTTAAAGGGCTTCCCTGGTGGTCCAGTGGTTAAGACTATGCACTCCTAATGCAGAGGTCCCAGGTTCAAATCCTGGTCAGGGAACTAGATCCCACGTGCTGCAGCTAAGACCCAGCATAGCCAAATAAATTTTAAAAAGAAAAAAAAAATGTTAAGCTGGAATGAGTGCTTATAAAGTAGGAGTACTTGTAAAGTAAAAGTTACATTGCATCATGTTTTGAGTGAACGATCGTTTTCTTTACCCTGAATTCCCCAAAGTTAGTCACTCTATTGTGTCCAACTCTCTGTGACCCTATGGACTACAGCCGATCAGGCTCCTCTGTCCATGGGATTCTCTAGGCAAGGATACTGGAGTGGGTTGCCATTCCCTTCTCCAGGGGATCTTCCCAATCCAGGGATCGAACCCAGGTCTCCCGCATTGCAGGCAGATTTTTTTTTACCATCTGAGCCACCAGGGAAGCCCAAGCTTGACTACTGAATACATAGAGCCAGCCTGTATGCATATAGGCTGTATATATATACACCAAATACATAGAGCCAGCCTGTATGCATATAGGCTGTATATATATACACCAAATACATAGAGCCAGCCTGTATGTATATAGGCTGTATATATATACACCAAATATGTAGAGCCAGCCTGTATGCATATAGGCTGTATATATATACACCAAATATATAGAGCCAGCCTGTATGCATATAGGCTGTATATATATATATATATACACCAAATATGTAGAGCCAGCCTGTACACAGCCTGTAGGGTAGCAGTAGTGGCTCATCAGGTGTCTGTGTGCCAGCCCTGCCTCGGGTAACCATGTCCCCTCTCTCTGTGCTCTCCCAGGTCTACCCTGAACTGCAGATCACCAACGTGGTGGAAGCCAACCAACCAGTGACCATCCAGAACTGGTGCAAGAGGGGCCGGAAACAGTGCAAGACCCACGCACACATGGTCATTCCCTACCGCTGCCTGGGTGAGCTGGCTGGCCTTGGAGCTGGTGTTGATGGGACCTGGGCTTTGGGCATAAACAGGAAGAATGCTCTAATTATTAGATCAGATGTGCAGGCTCTTCCTTCAGCATATTGCCACTCTGTATTGGACTTTATTTCGGACTCTTATTAAAGTATCCTGTGTCCTAAAAGTAAAGCAGCAGTATTTCCGGGCTTCCAGCCTCAGAATGAATTTACCTAGTGTGTTTATTTTAATTAAAAATCGTGGACCTCTTCTACAACTGCTGAATGAAAATGTCTGGTGGTGGGGCCCAGGAATCTTAGTTTCACTGATTTCTGTAGGTGATTCTCCTGTATCTGAATTGTCTAGAATTAGTAGAATTCAGACCTTGTATGTTTCTTGACATCGACTTCATAGAAGAGAGTGCCTAATGTGCATTTTGCTAATTCTTAAAAAGCGCTTTCTACAACAGCCCACTACTCTTCCTGTTTGATGGAGTTGAGCAACTTTTGTTATTCTTCTTACATCAAACTGGAGGAAGCAGTTTGATCACTCAGATTTAAATGTGTGCTTTCACTTTTTACTGACTTTTACTTTAAACTGTTGTTTAAAAACTGAGTTGCTTTATGTGGTATCATGTTTTTTCCTCTGGAAACACTGTCATACTCCACATTTAATCTGTCTTGGTTATTAGTTTCTTCCTGCGTGATTTTTTTTTTTTTAATGTAGCTAGGCAGTGGGGAAATCAGCAGCCTTTGATCTGATAGCCAGCATCTAGATGTTCTCCAGGAGTATATTCATTGGCAAGGTGGTTGTAAATAAGGACATAGGGATGTATCTGAGAGCGATGTGGACAAGTGTTGATACACATTCCAATAATGTCTTGTAAAAACTAAAAAGGGTCTTTAAGAAAAAGTCCCCAACAGCAAACTTAGAAATTGAGAATGACCAAGATTCTGTGATACTTGGGTCAAATGTGAACACTGTAAGAACCTACCGATTCCTGTAGATGCCTGCACACACTCTGAGACATGAACAGGAAACTGGGCTAATCTCCAGTGAATGAAGGTTTCATCGGTGGATTTATGATAAAGAAAATATGGAAAACCAGATTCTTAAACATTTGGCAGTTGAAGTTTCCTTGTTCCTCAATGCAGAAGACAACACTTGTGATGTGTTTAGCCACTTTCCCAGGCCTGCTATAGTATCTGGTGTTAAATTAGCACATCAACAACACCTCTTCTTGACTACTCATGGGACTAGATAATCATTATATACTTCTAGTAGGTGCCTGGCCTGTATGAATCTTTTATCATGTTTTCTCACTTTATGAATCCCTGGTATTTTTCTACTGAACCCAAAATTAGACCTTAACATGACTGTGGCAAGTGGAACATACGATGCCTCCAACTTTTTTACTGAGCTTATATTAGAATTAAGGATTGTAGGTACTCACTCCTAGGGAATGGCAAATTTTCCATAAGTCTTTTTTTTCCCCCTGATTTTTCAAATTGAACAAAATATTCTTTAAATTCTGTAGTAGCAGTGTTAGTTGCTCAGTTGTGTTCAGCTCTGCGACCCCACGAACTATTAACTCACCAGGCTCCTCAATCCATGTTATTCTCTAGGCAAGAATACTGGAGCGTTGGTATAGAATACTGCCATTCCTTTCTCCAGGGAATCTTCCTGATCCAGGGATCGAACCCAGCTCTCCCACATGGCGGGCAGATTCTTTGCCAGCTGAGCCACCAGGGAAATTCTGCAGTGCTTTACAATTTTCAGAAGTTTCACTGTCATGATTTCATATAATCCTGTAACAATCTGTTTTTTTCCCCACCCCTATAGTGTCCCTCTCTTCTCCCTCTACCCACTGGTAGCCACTAGTTTGTTCTCTTTATCTGTGTGTCTACTTCACTTTTGTTTTATTCATGGGTTTCTTGTATCTTTTAGGTTCCACATATAAGTGGTATCATGTAGTATTTGTCTTGTTCTGTCTGACTTACTTCACTTAACATTGATGCCCTCCAGATCTATTCATGTTGTTGCAAAAGGCAAAATTTCATTCTTTAAATAAAAGTATTACGAAAAGTGTTATATATAACCCCAATGAATATGCACAGTGAGTCTTGTTTTCAGGAAAAGGAATGGAAAAACATGTATGTGATTTATGCGTTTTTAAAATTGCATTCATACTGCATGGTCCCAATACTTTGAATATTATTTGTCCAGTTTTCTTCCTTTCCTTTCCCTTTTGTTCCTTTCTTCTTTCCTTCCCTCTTTTTGCCTGCCTAGATTTAACATCCATTACACAGAGAGGTTACCAAGCATTTTGTACTTGCAGAGGGTACCCATTGAAATACTTACTCTGTGACGCAGGTGATGTTGGATTTTTCAGTCTCACTTCACTGGTACAAATATTGAAAGTCAGCAAGATTGAATTTCTTGCAATAACTCACACATCAGTTTAGCAGTAAAATCAGGACCAATGCCCAAGGATTTTTGATTCTCAATCCAGCATTCCTTCCAGTGTCAGCAGAAAATTGTATTAGAGCCAATAACCACCTGATTTATAAAATCAAATCATAGAGGAAAGACTATGAATTGGAGGCAATAACTAACTCTTAAAAAATCCCACTGTAGAAATGTCTCATAAAGGCCACAGCCATGTCCCTAGAAGCTCCATGGTTCTCTTCATGTGATCAGGTTTCCACTTTATGGTAGGGATAGGCAACCTTCTTATATACGGGGCTTCTCAGGTATTGTTATTCACTTGCTAAGTCATGTCTGACTCCGTGAACTGCAGCACGCCAGGCTTCCCTGTGCTTCACCATCTCCTAGAGTTTGCCCAAGCTCATGTCCATTGAATCAGTGATGCCATCCAGTCATCTCATCCTCTTCCAGCCTCTTTTCCTCTTGCCCTCAATCTTTTCCAGCATCAGGGTCTTTTCCAATGAGTTGGCTCTTCGAATCAGGTGACCTAAGTATTGGAGCTTCAGCATTAGTCTTTCCAATTTCAGGTGGCTCACTGGTAAAGACTCTGCTTGCCAATGTGGGAGACATGGATTCAATCCCTAAGTCAGGGAGATTCCCTGGAGGAGGAGATGACAACCCACTCCAGTATCCTTGCCTGGAAAATCCCATGGACAGAGGAGCCTGGAGGGCTAGAGTCTAGGGTGTCACAGAGTTGGATACCACTGAGCGACTGAGCACATAGGAACATTTGTGTATGACTTCCTGCTTGAATAAAGAATTACTGTTTAGCATTACCATAAGTACCATCTAAAATTTCTGGCTGTATCCAAATAAATCCTTTACACAAAAGAGATTATTTTACTAAAGTTAATTCTCAGACAGGTGCTACCTAGAAAGCAAAAGAAGATTGTCTTTAATATTAAGCATATTAAAATTCAAAACAAAGCTAGAATAGAGAAAAATGCCTGTCAAGTTCAGCATGTAACCTTCCTGACCATCTTATCAGGGGCAGGATAAGTGCTATACTGGGTTATTTTTCTCTAAGTCGTGTATTTGCCATAGGCATCCCTGCTCCACGGTGTCTTGTATCCCTTGTCTAGATGGAGAAAGTATATTAGGTTGCTGTTGTCACTTTCTTCCCATGGAGTAGATGATCTCTCTTGGGAGTCAGCTGGCTTTCTCATTTCACGCTTTACTTTTAGTTATGCCTCAGGCACTAGACGGTAAGATCTGTCTTAGTCATTTGAACATTTTATTAATTATCTCATATAGGATTCAAGCAAATAATTATTATTCAAAGCGAATATTTCCTTTGCAAAATGTTTGACTCCTTTCCATTTGGATTACTACTTTTCCTGGTGTCATAGATCCATTATTGAAATTGATGTTTTTCTGCATTTGCCACTGTCCAGGAAAGGCTAATAATTCAATTATAAGCAAAAAAAGATGAGTAGAAACTCTGGAATCATCTGCTGCTTTGGTTACCATTTTTATATGAAATATCAGCACTGTTTGAGTTGTATATATGTATTGTGACTCTCTCCAAGAGATAATGGGATATGAAATTTTTTAAAGTTGAGCTTATTAGAGGTTCTTCGTACAAGTAAGTTATGACCTCGATAATTTGCTGTTTGCTTTTATAAACAGCAGCTTAACTCATGAAAAGTATATTCTGTTTTTATTGCTTTTATTTTTTTCTATTGTTTTTAGATTGCTTCCATTTATATAGAGAGACAGGCAGATGCTGACATCCAAGAAAGTTTAAAAGTCACATGGAACTTAAATTTCACATGGTCACATTTTCACCTACTTTATTTAAAAAGTAACTTGCCTGGTGGCTCAATCGGTAAAGAGTTTGCCTGTATTACAGGAGACTAGAGTTCGATCCCTGAGTCAGGAAGATCCCCTGCAGAGGGAAATGGTAACCCACTCCGGTACTCTCGCCTGGGAAATCCTGTGGACAGAGGAACGTAGTGGGTTACAGTCCATGGGGTCGCAAGAGTCAGACACAACTTAGCAACTAAACCTACCCACCTACCTTACTTACAAAGAGCAAAAATGCCTTTAGATTTAGTAACACATCAGCTAGAGTGGATGTAGGATATTTTGAGTTTTTAATTTCTCTATGTACTTGGAATCAGTACTATCATATCAGATCTGATGGTCTGGAAACACTTACTTTTCTGTGCCAACCAGTAAACAGCTGCTTCCTAGTTACATCTGCATAATTTCATCTTGGAAATTGTTGGCTTGCTGTTTTAATGTAAATTTAATACGCTAGACCATAGTGTTTCCAGCTTTTAACCTCAAGCTGTGTCTTTCCTCATAGACTTTTTCTGGTGTGACTGAGTTGAAGTGATTATGATAGGGAATCAAGAAAGAAATGGACTTCCATCAAAGTTCTCTTCACACTCTGGGAACATCTTTTTTAAGTGGTTTGCTGCTTACCATCACTTTCTACCTACCACAGAGAAAGGAAACTGAATTTCCTTTTTGTGTTTACAACTCAGTTCTCATCATGTTATTTCCCAAAATGACACATTTAAGATC